ACTGCCTGTTGGTTACAGCCTGTTGGTTACTGCCTGTTGGTTACAGCCTGTTGGTTACTGCCTGTTGGTTACAGCCTGTTGGTTACTGCCTGTTGGTTACAGCCTGTTGGTTACAGCCTGTTGGTTACAGCCGTCCATCAGTCTTCCTCGTTGGTTGGTCTTTGGTTTCTCCTTAAACAGGTAGAGCGTCTGAATGTTAGCTAGAGGCTAAGGTCAGATCACACCACTGATCCAATGCTAATGCTAATGCTAATGCTAACTATGGACTCACCATTAGGAGAGTCGCAGACTGACCAATGAAAACGTGTGTCAGGGTTGGTCTGTGCCTCGCCTCGTGGATTAGCTACGGCCGGGCGCGGCGTGCTGCTGTCGGATGGAGAGGAGGAGGAAACATCCTTCAAGCTGTTAGATCGGAGTTAGACCACGGGCTGCTCTGATTGGATGAAGGCTCTGGCAGATGATGGATCCGATTGGAGCAGACGTTAATGAAATGATGAGCAGATGATGAAAAGGGCAGCAGGTTGTTCAGCCTCCGTCATTTCAGACATAACCAGATTGTCTTCAGTCCGACGGCACGTTTTTCTCTTCTGTCTCATTTGATCTGATTTAATGTCACAGAATTAGATGTTAAATGAAATAATGAAACCGGTCAGTAGGAACACCGTGGAAACGCCTCAGAGGCGGGAACGCCATGAAGACCAGGAGATCAGGACCAGGAGATCAGGACATGAGTCAGGGGCCGCATGCAGACCAACGGTGGCCCAGATGGAGGCTCTGTGGAGCTGCATGCTAGTGTCCAGAAAAAGACTTTCATTTGGTGTTTAAAAACAAACAGGAACTTCCTGAGTTTGGTGATTCCTCGGCTGAACAGATGAGGTCAGATCAGAGTGAATTATGGAGAACGTCTCCCACAGCAGACGTTCTCTAAGCTTCTCTGACTCCATCACCATTAAAGCCCCCCCCATAGCCAGCCAGCTGGTCTACAGGCAGAGCATGCAGATGATGAAAGGAGGACCTTCTGGATTCTTCTACCCTGACCTCTGAGCTTCATTCAGCTGGAAGCCGGACAGAGGCTCCTTGTTGCTCTGCCTTATTCATCACATCCTTTGCTTGATATTTCCAACAGAGCAGCGATTGTCTGGATCAGAACCGCTGACGTCTCTCTGCGCTCGGCCCGCTCATGTGACCCAGGCCCTTTAGTTAAAGGTTCAGGTCGTCCATCATCATGAAAAGGTCTGAGCGGCTTTAATCAGCACTCAGCCGGATTGATAGCAGCCGCTCTGGGCTAACGGTCGACACAGATCTGCTCCAGCTTTCTGTCTGCTGGAAACACCTCAGACTGAACGACTGACCTTAGCATGGTTAGCATGATTAGCATGGGTAGCAGAATTAGCATGGTTAGCATGATTAGCATG